TTGCAAATGGAACAAATCCAAAAAAAGCTAGAGTAAATCCGAAAATAAGCAGAAAATGGAGCTTTACCACCATGCGAAGCAGATCAACAATAAAACGCCAAGGAGATGGAAAGAGTTTACCAGAGAAGAGCTTTGCAAAGGAGACCTGTAGGAGCAAAACCATGGCCGAAATCCCCAGAGAAAAACTCAGATCCAGCCCTAGCCGTTAACGCCATTTCGCTCCTGGCGTGTTAAATATTCGATTACCACACTCTACACAAAGAGGGATTCAAACCCGCGACCTGAGGGGACTAACGATCTTCAGAGAGGCTGCTCTACCAACAAGATACCATGTATAGGAAATATTATAAAAGAGTGATATACATAGTGTAAGGTTTAACATGATAACGTAGAAAAAAAAGACGTATGTTATGTCAAGAAAAAAATACAAGCCCTCATATCCATTAATTATTTTTGTCAGATTGTGGGGTGTAATCATTTTTTAAGTCTTGGATGTTAAGACCGGTCAACAACTCTTAGGAGGATAAGATAAATAAGACCAATAAAAGCATAAGGTGGTTCTAGTAATTGAATGCTCCTACTAGATAATTATTAGTAAGTAGACAACTCATTTAATTTATTCGAATATAGCTTTAACATTTGAGTAATCTTGATATCAACATAATTTTTTTATTTTTTATGATACATTAGTTCCTTGTGTTACTTAATAAGACTGAGCTTGGTGCTACCTTAAGATTTATAGTTCAGGCATAATTATATCAAATAAATTATTTAATATGTAATATATATCAACAATATTTATTTTCTATAGGCATTAAAGAAAGGACTTCTTCAAGTGGCATGATCCGGCACTCATGTACGCTATTGTAGAGAGGTTCATGAAGTTATTAGCTAATGCATGCTCATGCACTCCCCAATAAACTAAAACAAAATTCATTTGATTTTGTGTGAGATCTCACTTTCTATGATGGCAATGATATTGTATAGCCATGATTTTTCTTGCAGCAAAATGCAAAATATGTGGGGAATGATGAATGTGTTATATAAGGCTATTTAATAAATGAGAGAACATTTTTTTTTCTTCAATCTTCTTGGACATGGAGGAGGGCCACCACAACTGAGATCTCAATGACTACAATAAGATAATTTATTTAAAATTTTTAAGAAAAAAATAGACAAAATTTGTTGATTTATTTTCATTTTATCTGCAATAGCAATTATGGAGTGTATCTAAAAAAAAATAGAGGTTAAATAATATCACATAGAAATATTCATAGATTATTTATGTGTATATTCATTTTAACATTGAACTATATGTCTAATTATTTTTCATATCCAAATATTAATTATTTGTGTATGTTTATTTTTTCATTTATTCAATTTGCAGAACTATGTTATGGAAGGCTTAAATTTACAATAATTTATAAACTGCTTTAAATACAATTTGCTATACTATAATTACTATGCTACATTTTCTTATAGAAAATATTTTCTATTTACAAAATTTGTGTTATAACTAACATATTTATTTCTTATAACTTATTATTTAAAGTTTCTTTTTGTTCATTTCTTTTAATATGTCGAGTTCATTTTTTATAATCCAGATTTTTTTGTCATGATAGTATGTTCATTTCTAAAAATGCATAGATTCAACATGTCCACAAATACCAGGTATAGATGATTCAGGTGTCAAGCCAAAAAAAATAAATAAATAATAAATCAAAAAATAAAATAATGATTAGCAATTATTTTATTCCTCCTCTTTTTTTTTTCACCGAGACAATTATAGAATCAACAATCAATATATGTAGTGTATCGTGAAATAATGTATTTTACCTAACAATAAAATAATTGAAGGAATGTATTCTTTGTATTAGAGCAAACTTTGTAGTGTATGAATCATCTATGTTTTGATTCAATGAATTCTTTAAAAAATAGTTAAGGAATGTATTTTACAACGTTAGTAATGGATTTCTATGTTTAATAGAATACATTCCTTGATTACTAATACACCTTAATTATTTCCAAAGAATTCACAATGTATTTTACAACGTTTGGCAATCTCTGTACATATGAATTGCTCGGTCTAATTCCATAAGAGAATCAAAACACCAATATATGTACAATATTTTCAAAAGGAAGTATCACAACAACTGTAAATCCATCGATTAGTAATCAAGAATTCCTTAATTATCAAAACAAGTGTATAAAGAAAGCTTAAGCATGAAAACAAACATATCATGAGATAGCCAAAGAGGGGAAGAAGGAAAAAGGAACTTCCAGAGAACGTGACTCTTAGGAGAGCAATGAACAAAATCTCCAAGTCCGATTAATGCCGAAGAAGCATGGAGAGAGGAGCTGAATGTCGAAGAAGCTGCGAGAGAACGGAAGGCAGCTAGGGATCGCGAGCTAGGGTCGTGAGCGGGGTAAAATTCCATGCAATTGCTTATGGGTGTGTTTGGGACAACTTATAAGTGCGAGGGCACATTTTTGAAAACGTCGTGGTACCGTTTGAATCGCGCGTTTCGTCCGCTTATCTGAAATGCAGTTCTATTTTTACACTAAATGCAGACTGCAGGTCGACCCCCGCGGTCGACCTGCAGGCCGTGTTTCATGATAAGCTACTTATCCTGAAACACACAATCTACCCCAAACGTACCATATGTGAAGGGCAGCGGGAACAATTCATGATTAAACACAACAAAGGAAACGCTACTGCGGAGGTAATACCATGGGCTAGATTAAGCGAAATTTATAAACTTCGTTTTTCAAAAAGCTGGCCAAACGTGTAAAACAAACACTACAGTAGCGTTTTAAAAATGCCACCACAGTTTTAAGCTGTCCCAAACAGGCCTTAACTTTGAAGCATGACCCAATCATCTTAGAAGCATTCTCCTCTCGTATACTTCCCTTCTACAAGATCATGAATAAGGCCATAGAGGAAGAAGTTTGTTGCTTCAAGGTATGTTTTTTAATTCCCTTAAATATGCAAAATCCTTGCATTTCGGGGTAACTTGGCAGAAAGAATGTTATGGTATGGCTCTGATACCACTTGTTGAGAAAATTAGGGCGAAGAAAACATTAACGACACAAATCCAGAAGAACACAAAAATTTAACGAGGTTCAGCAAAGATGCCTACATCCTCGGGAGTAGAGCAGCGATTCCTTTCAATATTCAGAAAAGAGGTTACATATTAGGTATGACTCATAATACCAGAATTTGGAGTCTCTTGGAATGAAGAGAAGTCTCTTGGAATTAAAGAGGTGTGTCTCTTGAAATTTAGTGGGTTGAGATTAGCGTGGGAGCAGCAGAAGCATGGTGGCCCAACCCACATTGGTGCAGGTGTAACTCTAAGGTATCAAGAGGTGTGTCTCTTGAAATTTAGTGGGTTGAGATTAGCGTGGGAGCAGCAGAAGCATGGTGGCCCAACCCACATTGGTGCAGGTGTAACTCTAAGGTATCTATTTCTCCTAAGGGGCTGGATATTCGCAAGGTGGAGATTTTCTCCTAAGGGTCAGGATGTTCGCAAGGTGGAGATATTTCTCCTAAGGGGATGTATGTTCACAAAATGGAGATTTTCTCCTAAAGAGCGGGATATTCGCAAGGTGGAGATTTTCTCCTAAGGGATTGAATATTCGCAAGGTGGAGATTTTCTTCTAAAGGGCTGGATATTCGCCAATGTGGAGAATTATTAGGTATGACTCATAATACCAGAATTTGGAGTCCCTTGGAATGAAGAGAAGTCTCTTGGAATTAAAGAGGCGTGTCTCTTAGAATTTAGTGGGTTGAGATTAGCGTGGGCGCAGCAGAAGCATGGTGGCCCAACCCACATTGGTGCAGGTGTAACTCTCAGGTATCTTTTCTCCTAAGGGGCTGTATATTCGCCAAGGTGGAGATTTGTTATGGTATGACTCATATACTATATCGGGACAGACGCTGGATCGAAGCGGAGCGGAGCAGAGCGGAGCGAAGCGGAAGAATCTGTCCAAATTGGGAAGTTGCGTGGGTTGGAGTGCGGGGCAAAGCCCCACGGTATGATACAGGGGTAATGTTGTAATTACAAGTTGTGCCTAGGTTTACTCCTGGGGTTATAAATAGGCATGTTTGTAACCCCAGAAGGTATTCCTGAATTCTGTAACCTCTTTTCTGAATATTGAAAGGAATCGCCGCTCTGCTCCCGAGGACGTAGGCATCTTTGCCGAACCTCGTTAAATCTCTGTGTTCTTCTGGATTTGTGTTGTTAATATTTTCTTCGCCCTAATTTTCTCAACAAAGAAGAATTTTTTAAATAATGTAAATATGCATTTATTAAATTTTGTAACTTTGGATTTATTAAGTCATGTAAATCTAGACTTAGCAAATTCTAAAATCCTAAAAATAGTTTGGTATGATAGATATTAATTCCAACTTAATCATGTAAAATTGTTTGACAACCTAATTCAAGACTTGAATTTATTATTTGAGTTTAATAATATTACATATTCATGATGTAATTGTTAAATCAAATTAAGTTTTTATTTTTAATTATTATTATTAATAACTAATTCTCCACTATGCTAAGTAATCATTAATAAAAAATTTGCTAAATTAATTATTTATTAAGTAATAGTTTAACAATCATTAATTAATAATTAATTTGTTATTTATTAATTTAATTAATAATTAGCTATATGTACACTAAGTTTAAAAAATTTAAATTGTAATTTATTATGTACTTATGAAGGAGGTACTTATCATGTCTATAATCTATATAATTATAATCTATATGATAATGTTTTTTTAAATTATTAATTAATTAATTTAATTAGAATTAACTTAAATAAAATTAAATTAAGGACACGGGTATAATCCCGCGATAAGCGTTTCAAACGCCCCTTTACCCACCTGCCCTCTCGCACTCCTCTCGCGCTGCCCTATTTCCTTTGCCGGGTTCGGTGGATCACTTCACGCTCCCGTAACTTCTTCCTCCTCCTCCTCCCCAAGCTCTCGGTCGAAGCTCTCGGTCGAAGCCTACATGCCGCACGAGGGGTAGGAAACGGCTCGCACTACTCCTCTCTCCGTCGAAGATCTAGCGCAGAAATGCTTCTCCTTCCTTCTCTTCTTCGCTCATAGGGCTGCTCGATCCCTCAATTGCAGAAAAATGCTGTACGAGCTCCTCTTCCTACCTCTGTGGCTCGGGTATGGCCGATTGAGCCTCTAGGTGGCCCATCGGGCTTCTCCTTCTTCTTCTTCCTCGATTTCTTCTTTCTTCTTCCTTCTTCTTTTTCCGTTCCTTCACTGTTGTTACTCTTTTGGTTCATTGAATATTTTTTCCCTGAATATCTGAATTGTTTTAAATTTGGCACCTTCAGCTTTGCTGAAATTTGATTAGGTTTTTCTGAAGTTGCTTTGCTGAAATTACAATACCTGTTGTTTAATTGAGTTGAGTAAATGCATATATGTTTGGCTCCATGGAATGACAATTATTTTGTGAGGGAAGTTTTCTAGAATTTTAGTTATTTTGCTTTGCTAAAATGTTGTGAGGGTGCTATATTAATCAAAATAACTTTATGGAACAACTGTTACTGTAAGGGTAGATATTGCAGTTTTTTGGAGAACAATATCAATTTTACGTGACAGATTGTTCGTTTAACAAAAAAAAACTGCAAATTAACTATTTATAAAATACAGAAATCAAACAGCTAAACAGCTTATCCAGAATATGGGGTAGGTTGGTCATTTATTCAGAATCAATTGTTTTCCAAACGCACAAACCAAACAACCAGTCAGCTTATCCGGATCAGCTGGTCATCAGCAGATTATCAGAATAAACTGCTTATTAGCATAAACTGGATAAGCTGCAACTGCCCCAAACAGACCCTTAAGTCCCGTTAGCCGCGGCTACGTTTGGATTTTTACGCAGAATGCCCTCGATTCCGCCCTAATCCTTTTCGTTCGTCTCTGTACGCAGAGGGGCATCTGCCATCCTTTCCCCACTCCCAGGGCGTCGGTGAGCAATCTCTCATCCCTTCCTTTCATTGAATTTTCGCCGCATCGCTAGGGTGAGCTCTTCTTAGGATCTGTTATCTTTCCCTTTCCTCCGATTCAGCTATGGGATTATTCACGTGCTCTATCATTACCGAATCATGGGTTTTTGATGAATGTTTTGTTCCTTTTTACCTTTTCGTTGTTTTGGCCAAATTCTATGTGCATCGGTGAGGATTTGTAACAAACACAATGGTTCAATTCCTACGGATCCGGTCATTAGTGTTCTTTATCATTTTAACTATGAGATAAAATATAATAAATTGCATATCTGGAGCTTTATTATTTGTAGCAATGAATACTTGGCTCTCAGTGCGTCGGTGAGTGCCATTTTTGCGTGAAATGGAGTCTTACGCAGTAAGGGGAAGCTTGGAGATTTTTTATCATCGCAGTTTGCTTTGAAACACATTGGTTGGTTTGCCTGAGAAAGTTTAATGGCATCTATTGGATGCACATCTTATACCAATTAGGCTGTAAATAGTTGTGGGACATGATTGGAGTCAGTGTTTTCTAATCCATGCACACCTTTTATAAGCAAGTGTTGCATGAAATGTGAAGCTTCTTGCTGTAATGTTTGCCCTCTCATTTGTTTTGCATTATTGCTCACAACAAGCATCATTTAACAATGCAAAAAAGATTTGCGGTGCATGTATCTAACAGATCATACAACACTTTTAAGAAGTGGAAAATGTTGATTTACTTTTAAGGAGTGGAAAATGTTAACATCCATGTGAAGCATAGGAATAGAGTTGGGAAACAGTTACTTCATCACTTGACTTCTTTTAAATTTTGAAAGCTGAGCTTGTTCCTATGATGAAACAATCATAATTTATGCTTGGATGACACCTACTTGAAGTATGAAAAAATAAAAATTGTCTTCCCCGTAGCACCTTCTTGGGGCAGCGCAGTTGTGGCTGAAAAACTGCGAGCCTCAACTGTCTCAAACAAACCCTAAATTCCAAAACCTACCTTCACTCACCGGACTCACATTTTGCCTGAATCCACCGCACCTTCCTCTTCTCCCTCTAACATCGTGAAACCCTCTCAACATAGTCGCTACCAGAGCTAGCTAGCAGGACAACAATGGGATTACGACACTCTATTCTTACCCAGAGCCATTTAGAAAGGTGACCTTCATGTTTCTCCCCCTTTCTTCCACCTCACACCCTTCAGCTCCTCTAAATACAGTAAATCCGTATTCCATGGGGCTTTACTATCCTGGATTTTAAGGCAAAATGGAGGAGTAACGGGATTTAAGATTCTATAGGATTTATAGTGTCATTTTTTTTTGTTTGGCAGGATTTAGGAGGATTTAGGTTAAATCCTGCTTAATTCTTGTACCATACAACCCAGTGGTGTGGGATTAAGTTTGCCATGCTTGTTTCACAAGATTTATGTTAAGTCCTTAAAACTCAGCCCAAAAGTGTTTTATTGTCAGTTTAGTAAATATTAACAATAAGACGTTTGATATTTAAATGCCCAACTATTTCGTGGTATAGAGGTAAATCCTCCTTTTTTATTGTCAGGAAAATGCCGCGGTTCCACTCTGTAAAATAATTTTAAAAAATAGTCTAGGGTTTTTATTGCTATTTTATGTTTTTGCAGCTTGTAGATTGAGATATTATTCTTTGTTTCTTTTGTTAGTAATGAAGTGGTTCCCTGCAGTGGACTGATTGCATAATATATTTATCTGGGCATCATATTTGTGAAACGAGAAGATGCATCATTAGAGGCTGGGTCTCATGGCTAAAGCTGCTATCTTTGATTCTTCATTGGCAGCTGACATCCTTCCTGTCGGAAGGTGTCAGTCTAGTTTGAAAATGAAAAGGAAGACTCCCTCTGAACTTAGGGTGAGTGTATTCTTCCTTCTGTTTTTCTTTTATTACTTTGCAACCGTATAGTTGCTAATTTGATATACATTATTTATACTGAGCAACATGAAATCTAACTACACCTGACTGCTTGAGTTATTTTTCTGTGACAATTCACTGACTGTTTTATTGCTTGGTAGAATTGCAAATTAGTTGATGGTTAATCATTAATGTTATTGCCATTTTTCTTCTTTTTTTATGCTTGAATGTGCACTTGTGCCTGGCAGGGTGAACAGTTGAAACGGAAGAATGGAGTTATACATTCAGATGAAAAAAATGCTAAGATGCTATTGTCTGAAAGGTGAGCCCATACTATTGGTCTTGACCTTATTTTAATATTTTTTTGCTTTTAGTTCGCTCACTGGAGGTTTCTATTGGTTAAACAGTGGAGCAGACAATGAACTTAAGAAACCTGAATGGATTAAGGCTCCTAGATATATTGACACTAGGGTTAGTGAGGTGTATCCCGTGAGGAAATCAAGTGAGATATTTAGAGTGCTCCGTGGAAAAGACAAAATTAAGGTGAGAACATTTGCAATCAAGTTTTAAGACTTTAATTCTTATTGCAGTTTGCCACTCAGCATTCATAGAGATTTGTTACTAGGACTACTTAAAAGTTCTAATGTTAGTGATTTGTTCTAAATTCATTTTTTCTGTAAAAGCAGGATGTTGCATCTAACATTGAAATTTCGAATGGCCTTGATAACCCATATGTTGTTGAGAACTTTCCATCCGAGAACATAACTTCACTCTCAAGGTAGTATTTTTAGCCATTCATGACTATATATATATA